ATGAGTTGGAAAAAATAGACGTCTGTCTGTAGAAAGAGAGTTGATTGGGTCTTGATTCGCTTCTTCCGAATGCGGAAGCTTCGTTCGAGGATGGAATTGCTCTAGACTAGAAATGTCAAACAAGTCAGTCTTTCATCGGTTCGACAGGAACGCGAGAGTGTATGGCTGTTGAAATTCAATAGAGAATGTCCAATGTAGTGATGTTGAAGCTATTCAGGCGACCCATTAGCGATGGACGAAATGCTCAACAGCTGTGTTCCACTGATTGGCTTCACACCACACCGATGGTTGCGCGGGTTTGGCTTTCGCAAGACTTTCTTTCGGATGCTGTGTTTCAGAGGAGGCAGACTACATAGATGGTTTCAGGAGATATCAATGATGAGAGGGAGCTCTTAGGAAACGAGAAGAGCCGGAACTATTTGCGGACTTGTTTTTGAATGCACAGTGCTCTAGACGAATAAGCTAGTAGTTATTGGTCTTGTGCCTGAGTGACTCTTGTGACAAATATGTTCCGGAGTCACATCATCAGTAATGCAACCGGGTTGCGAGTGACGTGGGCTGCCGTCGCATAAAATAGTGTCGCTGAGGCACCGACAGCGGGGATAGAGGTGTGTCGGCGAAGGAGGCTTGAAGAAATTTTTAAAATTTTCTCCGTAGATCTTGAGCTTCATAGTGCTCCTGAGAGACTAGACTGTGAAGGATCGATCCTCCATGGCGTTGTGCTGCAGCATGACATTTTGCTTGCGGCAATGCCAGCCGCATTTGCCAACAAGACAAAAACGCTCCTGCGTTCTCGTCGATCGCGCTCTTTCTGCAGCACCACCGTTTGCAGCGATCGGAGGAAGCGCTTTACAGAGAAGGAATGTCTGCAGAGCAAGTACCCTTGAAGGGCACTCTGAACAAGACTATGAAACTTTTGAACGCTGTGTTCTGTACAGTGACCTGTACCGTTTTGTATTTCACCAAAGCGTTCGAGAGCCTACAGAATTCGTAAGTGAAAGGGAAAGACGAGCTTGAAGACTTACTGCACCACTTTCATATGGATCTTTTCAACTAGGTACAGTAGTTGGGCATGGATTGAGATTTCATCTCAGCATGGGCTCCGGCACGTGAGATATGGTGTTTGTGAAATGTACAAAGAGTGTCATTGGAAAAGGTTATTTTTAGAGTAAGCGTTCAATGTGCCTCTAAATAGAGTTGCTTACATATGACAACTCTCTGCTTGAGCCGTGATTTGCGAGTCGAACTCGGTTTTATTTGACGCATTTCGACACAGGAGAAAAGTTGTGGTCCATAAACCGCTTTCGAGTCTAACTACAATATTCCATTTGTTTCATTCTCTCCAACTCCGATAAATTGGATTGCGGCGTCCAGTCAGAATCACTTTTCTTCGCTTCCAAACTAAAATAATGATAGTCAATCCACTCACTTTCTCTCCATCTTCCTTGTCCGCCGCCTTGCCGTCCGTCCCTTTTTGCCCTTCCTCTTAAATATATACAACAAAAAGAGAAGGATTGCTCGAATCTTTCATAAAGGTACACGTACATCAAATATTTGTCCGCGTTGAGATTATCTGCACCATGCCTAACTAGGAGGGTTGCCTTGCACGGACTAGTTACGAGCCCCTCTCTGTCCGATCAGTCAAAAAATATAGATGGCTTTGCCTCTGCCCAGGCAATGTCACATCTTGTGACAAAGAGAGATGGTACAGCGTAGCTACGTCTGTTTGATTGTCGTCCGGGCTTCCGGAGGGAGAATATCCTGCACGTACCAGTGCAGTACGTACAAGGCGTGCACATGCAACACGACTGCACATGTTGCGTCTCTTCTCGGGGACATGCTTCCGTTACGATTTCGACACCATTTCGATCTCACTAGAGCCTGCTCTGATTTCAAGTGTGTGGGGGGCGGGGAGCTGCCGTAATGCACAGAAGCGAATCTGCCTGGTGGTGCCAGCACCTGCTCTCCGGGAAGTGCATGGAACATTCGACCGTCATAGAACAACAACTCTATATCACCGGTGCAGTGACATGCTGACTTGTTTCCGTTCTTGTTGCCCCCTTTGGTGTGTCACAGCTTTCACGTGAACTGTTCGGCATTGCTCTACACGACTATGAAAACTACATCAGTACTGGTATCTCTTGTACCGTACAGTGTATCAAAAAAACATGATGGCAGAGCTTACAAGCTTCGCGCACCAATGGACCGGCGAAGACACCAGGAAAAAAAAAAAACGTTGTACAGTATTTGCCATGTTTGTCAGAGTTAACTGTATATCACAGTCGCAATTATCGAAATGGATTAACTTTATTTAAAGACAGGGCGGTGTCCTAGCAGTGATGTCGTAGACGTGCTGTTGAGCGTATCGAGGGAAGTCATGTACAACGTTGCCATTAGAGCTCTAGTGAGACGGACAACTCTATTTTGTTGCGCTGTGTAGTACTGGTATGTGCTACATCGCATTGCTGATGTTGATGATAAGATTCCTCTACTCTACTTGATGTGAGTGCGGTCAGTTCAGGAGGCATTGAAAGGCGATTCGTGAAATACGGGTGTGTGAAGAGTGTGTGATTTGGGGCGAAGAAAGGTCGTTGCGGAGACTTGCTATGAGACACAGCAGTGAACGAGAGGTTTTACAGTTTGCGAAAAGCAGATGATGACGGGAAGATGCCCATTTTATGACAAAGTGCCAATGCGTCATGCAGCAAAGCTAAACAAACCGTGTCGTGGTGCATGGTGAGGTGGCACATAGTCAGCGTGGGGGGGGGGGGGGGGGGGGGGGGGGGCATGGCTTGCAAGCAGTTTTGTGGCATGAAGTGTCATATCATTTACTGTACTGGTACTACTCGTACAAAAGGCATATAAAGTACTAAGTCTTCATCGTGTCCTTCAACAAGACGGAGTCTAAGCGGCATGGGTATCCTCGAGATGATGTAACCTTCAGTTGTTGTTGCCCCTCGGTATCTGTTCGATAAATGAGGGACACGAGCGTTACGTCAATGTCACACAGAAACTATTCACGGGTCCGGCTCGGGCGCCGACGCCGGGAGTGGCTATTGTTGTTCAGCGGTCCAATGGCGGAAAGCAGGGTGAGAAAAAAAGCTTCCGTTGCACCTCCCGTCGATATCAGTGCAGGGCGTGTGTGACCTGTGGCGGCGTCCGTCTTACACACGGCGGCATGGGTGGGGGTCGTAGCGCTGTGGTCAGGACGATCTCAGGTGTCATCGTCTATTTTTACAACTGGGGTTCTGCAAGCCCTGCTGCCCGCGCACGTTCTTGCGGCTGCTGGAAACTCGGCTTTTCTTTAGAGCTTTACTCCCTTTTTCCGGAAATGACTATTCGGGCCGTTGTATTGCACAATCTGTCCACCGCATCTCATGCATGCATAGTATCTCTTCCTCTCGGTACCCCACACATGCTATACACAACGGAGACTGTGCCTGCCAACCGTGTTGCTACGCTCGCCACATCTAATTCTCTTTGGCCACACCTGCAGGGCGTCCTCGCCTTCTCGCCTTCGTCGCCTCTGTTCCGTGCAGCACATATCCGGTCCGCTCTCTCACGACGTACTCATACAGTGCCAATGAGGGTACAATACCGGGTCGTCCATTGGCAATCGTTCGATTGACCCTTCCTCACCGCCCCAGTCCCTTGTTGGTGCGAGCCAATCACAACAACTTTGCACCCCTTTCGATGTACCTCTCGTACCTTTCTCTAACACTGACATCCCACTTATACATCTCTTCTTGAAAGTCCCACGACGCATGTCAGTACCTCACAATCCGTGCACACTAATGAATGAAAACTACCACCTCCATCGCCCTTCCCACCTCAGCTCATATGTCGCTTCATCCTTTCGTCCTATAAAAGCAACCTCGATTTTCGCACCACTCGCAACATCCTTTCCACGCCCCCCTTCCCCCCCCCCCCCCCCAAACCCCACGCCCACCTCCTTATCACCCGCAAATCCTCACCCCACCTCCATTCACTCTCTCCCGTATCGTCTATAGCCGCAACCTTCCTACCCTCATCCGCACCCTCCTTGCCACCTGAGTCCACAATTCGCCACTCCACGTCTTTTTCAAGCATGGCTGATAAAACACATCTACCTCCCATCAGCACCCTCCTGCAATTGACAGACCTTGGTTCCAACTACTCGTCACGGCATCGAAACTCACATAGATCGCACAGGAATTTCAACAACCTTGACGGCTCGCATTTGTCTGCATCCTTTTCCCATCATCGGGGACGGTCCTCATCTCCTCTGGATTCCGATATCCCAGGCTCTGGTTCCCGTTCTTACAAACAGCAATCCGCCGTTCGCGATTCGCAACACTCCGGCAAGACCGCATCCCATAGCCACAAGACTGCTAGCCTCCTTCCGTCTGTAAGCGAAGTGCTCGGCTCCAATTCCACTCAAGCTGACCATTGGTCTTATAAATCTTCACAAGCATCAGGTCGAAGCACAGCTCCAGGAGCTCGGGAATTGCATGCTCCAACACGAGGTTCGTCGGTACCGTCGTCCCGACAGAGCGGACATCCGTGCGAACGCTGCGGACGCATGTTCACCCGGAAGTCTGATGCAGTCAAGCATAAAAGAGTAGTCCACGACAAGGTGAAGACATACGTCTGCCGGGAATGTGGGCGGAAATTTGCGAGGAAGGACTACTGCACGGTAAGTGTCAACCCTATTTACGTGTTTTTGGGTCCATATGTCTATATGCATTTACATGTGCAATATTCCTGGAGGCCAAGCGCAGTTTGTGAATGGCGCCCACAAACAATTTATATTTTCTCGCTCAAGACAAACATCTAACAGTATCTTCTACCGCACATGCATTTTTGGCACCTTGCCCCACTCACAGAAACATGAGAAATCACTGCACAACATCACTCCTCCTCCCACCCAGTACCAACTACGAAGACAGTTAGCCAGGCAACAAGCAGAAGGCCGACGAGATGTACAGTAACAAAGTGACGCTGCCAGCAACGAGAACTCGATGCTGTTATTAATTTTTTTGACGCAGCCGTTAATTGACAGAAACGTAAAAGTTCGGTTAGGAACCAAACAACTTGGGAGTCTAAAACACCTCAATGCTAGGGGTGACTTCTATGTGCTTGCAAGTATTATCCCTGTTAATGAAGGATTTAGTGTAGCACTTTGCACAGGCTCTGCGCCGCGGAGTGCCGCAAATTGTACCATTGCCTAGGCTGTTTTTGTGCAACTTGTGGTCGACCATCCCCACCTCGCCCATGGGGCGATTATAATGCGGGGATAGAATTACCCTGGAGTAACTACATACGTCGGAAATTTCATTCATGTCTCTATAGGCTGAAAATTAGTCCCTGTACTGCTTTGTTGTTCGAAGTCTTGTGAGTGCAAAACTTTGACGGATATGTTTTTTGTTTGTTGCCTTTGCCATTTTATTCCACACATGCGCAAATTGGCCTTAGAAACGTACATCCTAAGTTCTATTGATTGCCTGTCAGTCGATAGCGGCATACACAGACATCGGCAGTAGGTGCTAATGACAAGCCCGTTGGGTTTGGCTTTTGACGGGCATCTTTAATGCGAAGTAGAAAAGTTGGCGAGTTGCCATTAGTTATTTGATTGCACTCAAATGTAATCTAACTAGAGTTGCTCTTTCGAACAGTCGCTATCAAGAAGTCATGACGACTAAACATGACATTAGCCAGGGCTGCGGAATCAAATTGCGACTGTCGAAGTTCGACATCAGATGTTGCCATCGTTATGCAATTCTACGCAATAATGCCCATAACTGTAATACAAGAATCCTCAGACTCGATATAAAGAAAGAAAGAAAAAACGGCCTGCCACTTCAATTACATCGCGACAGAAAAATGCCAGGACAGTGCCCACAGAAGAGCTGGTACGCAAGAAATTGGAAGTAGAATGCCAAGAAAGCACAATATTTTGTTCAGAAGGCGTCAGGTCCATCGGTATTTAATTTTGCATCGAACACCAGCGATATCTAGCCTTGCTTCTGGAGTTTGTGGTCTCTTTGTTCGGACTCAAATTTCGTTTGTGGCAATAACAACCTTCATTGTTCCCAGTGCCCAGGTGACAAATGAACCCATACGATGTCACTTTCAACATACTTTTTTTTGGCTTATATATGCTTGAGAAGAAGAGGAACAATACATACCCTCACCACTGAACTGCCTTCTTCGGTGCTGCAGGATGTATGCCAGTGGGAAGTGCCTGTCCTTTCGCGTCGTTTTTCCTTAATCTAGCGAAGAAGCACTTTGAATACTGTACAGGAGAGGGTTGACGCACCTGGATTTCGCTAATTGCAATTAAACTTTTCAGGAATAGAGCATGACAAGTAATACACGTTGCAGCTATTATGTTGCTGCATGTGACTATTGACTATTGATTGTGAAATGTGATCAAATAGTGAAATCGTTTCTGTAACTCATCGCCCGCACAGAAGGCACACGTGGATATGAATTGGCGCGAATGGAGCACACCGCAACGCCTACAAACTTGTACTGCACCACGTCTAGATAATACGAAAAAAAAAAAAAAAAAAACGAAGTCCCACTACCCTTCTCGGGGGCCAAATTTGGGACAGGGCTTAACTTGGGACACTTAACTTCAACCGATATGAACTGCTTCTCAACGCTATTAATCAACCGAAACTGTGCATACAAGTGTTTGCCGTGGATTCGACAGCGCGTCAGAATTCAAACTGGCTGGCTGTTTGGGCGGGTAAACGATACCTGGTTTTTTTTGTCCCGAGATACTGTCCTTGACGAGGCGGTCTACCGCTTAATCCTCAAATTACCAACCATGCCACATTCCATGAGTCAAACGGCTGCCTATATCCGGCGCCAGAAGCAGGGTGAAGAAGAGAAGCAACGCCGGGCTCGTGCCTTGACTCTATTCGGGAATGGAAGGTCGGTAAGGGATGTCGCGTCAATTTGTGGAATTTCAAAGTCCACAGCAGGTTGCATTCATACTTGCCTGAAAGGCAAAGACAAGGAAAAATTAGAAAAGCTACTTGATCCTCTGAATAACCGGCGTGGTCGAAAGACTATCTGGACGAATGAAGAGTCTAAAGCTTTAAACGAACGCATAATTAGTGCGGCGAGAAGAGGATTTGCTGTGGATGTTCCAACACTACAGTCGACATTAAAAGAAATTTGTGCAGATGGTCGGCAAGGATATATTAATGGGATCCCTTCTCGAGCTGCTATAAGAACGTATCGCGCACAGAACAGAGAATTGGTCTACATGAACGCTGAAAATAAAGAAGCAATCAAGATAAAAGCCGAAAACTACTATCACGTCCAAACTTTTTCCGAAACGCTCAAAAAAGTGGAGCAGGGTCATCTTGGAATCCTTAACGATCCAAACAGAATCTGTAATATGGATGAAACGCATGTGGACGGAGAGTTTGGACGTCAAATTAAGGTTTTTTCTTCGGCAAACAGCCACCACGGCGGTGCAATTGCCAATGTTAAAGGTTCAGGAAGGCACTTGACCTCTGTTCTTATTGCGTCAACATCATGCCAACTTGCCCCCCTTTTCGCTGTAGCAGGCGGAAAGAACGTCATGCAGTCATAGATGGCACCCCTTCCGAAGAAAGAGTACACAAAAGACAACGTTCCCCATTGGTTAACAGACGAGTCTTGGATTCCGAGGGACTGTGTTTTGAGATGTACACAGAAGGGATCTGTCGAAATGGACACAATGCCTCATATTATCGAACATATTGATAAATTTGTTCGAAAGGCAGTCCCGAGGGAGAAGGCATACATTTTGTGCCTTGATGGCCACGGGTCTAGAAAGGGAATTGAGTGGCTTGAAAAGGCGAGGAAGCACAACATAGAAGTAGTTGTGCTCCCCGCAAACACAACACATTTTTTACAACCCTGCGATAATCAAATTAACAAAAGCTTCCAGAAAGCCGTCAGGAATACCAAAGATGAGCTTTTGTCATTGGCATCCACCAATGTACATGCCATGGGGTTTAAACTAAAGCTTGCAGTAGCGGGGCATGCTGCAGTCACAGCATCAATTGTGAGGGAGTCTTTCGTGAAAACAGGCATCTGGCCAATGGACTACCGATTCTTAGATAGACTCAAGACAGCAGCATTTGAACGCGAACAGACCCGCACAGCACTAATCAATCGCATTGACAACGCAGGACCGACGTCGGCGCTTAAGAGTGTTCGAAAAAGGCTCAGTGACAGTGACACATGGGGGAAGCTGAAGACAATATTCACTGAGACTTCAGACAAAACAGAATCCATCAAACGCCTCCGCCTTGCATTGGCTGACAATGATTCTGTCAACTCGATATTACTTGGAATCAGTCGAAGGCCAATCGCCCAATGTGGCGGAGAGACGAGGAGAGTGTTGGGGTGCGGAGCTCCGTCGCGGTGCCTTACAGTTGGGGACCTCATTGAGGGGCGCAGACAGAAGGACAAAGAAGCAAATGCTGAACGGGTTCGAGTGGAGGAAGAAAAGCGTTCGAAGGCAGAGGCGCGAGCACAAAAAAACGCGGTAAGGGAGCAAGCGAAAATGGAGCGAGATGAACTGCGTCGCCGAGAGCGGGAGGAAAGGGAGGCGATGACACGTGCGAAGTTGGGCAAGAGGTGTCGTTCCCCTTCATGTACAGGCAACCAAAAGACAGAAAAGAGCGCGCGGAGCACTGGACAGTCGACGCCATCCCGTTTTCAGGACGCTGTGGAGACTCTGATGCATTTAAGTAACAATAATTGTTAAGTAACTCAGAGTGGCTACTGTCTCAAATAAAGCCCTTTTCGAAAATTTCAACACTCTGGAAGCAGAACGAAGAATTTTAAACGTCTTGATTGACAACCCACCAATGGGCGGTGTTCCAGTTTGCTTGTATTGGGGACTCAAGGACACTTGCCCGGCATATATTCGAGGGCTCTTTAAGGGAACTGTTGTCAATTTATGGGAGTTCCCATAAATTGTGTCCCAAATTTAGCCCCGGAGAAGGGTACTCTTCTCATTACAAATCCTCTTCCTTTTCCTATCCCTCCCCTCATGGCGCAAGTTAACCTGCCGTCGCCCACCCCTGATGACAACTGCAGCTCGTCTCTGTCTCGCGATTCTCCACCTACTCCTTCTGTTGGATATCAGCTCCATTCCACGGAAGTCATCCTCGCTACTAAGAGCAAAGCTGGACCCAGACCTACTTTTACGCCTAGCGATGACCTCATCAGCGAGAGGCTAACGCTGCACAGATCCGTATTACGAAATATGGATAGATGCAGATGAGCTTTGCCTAACCCGCCAAGCGCAAGAAACCGAATCCGAATCCGACCGCAAAAATAACCTGCAAGCGTCTCCAGGATCGATTCCAGAAGCATTGGCTTTGAACCGCGATAGAATCGAAATGTAACTATTTGAGCGCGCCAAAGAGCCCTTTATGAGACGTGAAAAGCGCGCTGCGCACGAGAACCTTGAGTTGGAGAAGTTCTGTCTCATGATGTAGACGTTTCGGGGGAAGAAATAGGGCGTTGAAACCGCTTAGATAAGCTTCATTTTACGGTTTCGGAGGCTGTGAGGAGGAACGACAGGCCTTTGCCGTTCTAAAATTTCTCTATCTCGTCGTTTCGAGCGCAGACCTCGCTACTCTCCTCACGGGCCCGCAGGATGAGAACCACTGTTGTTGAGGTACTCTTGGACCGTGGCCGGCAAGTATTGGAAGTTCTGTGAGATATTGTTGGGGTAGATGAAGTTTGGCATATTCTTCGGCATCATGTATGCCAAGTAAAGCGCTCCAACGGGTGATTCTGCAATGAACATTTTTTTGAAGTCAACGGCTGTCCTTTATAGCTTTCCCTCCTTAAAAGCCTACTCTGCAGTATCTTTCACCCTTCAAATCGCCACGTTCAATGCTCTCTGCGAAGGTATCAGATTCGAACCCTGGAACAGCACTTGAAGAAGTGGGCGGAGGCTATAATTTGAGTCTCCGTGAAGACAATACTGAATTCCATTCACCACCATTATTTCTTCTCAAGTTTCCTCCAGCCTACTCTAAGCATACAGCGTCCAGTTGTGTGTCTCTGATCCTATAGCGGTCTATGCGCTTGAAGCATGAGTCCATCATGTGTCGTTACAGCCTGATATTTCAAAGCGTATTTACGCTTATGGAAATTATACGCCACGATCTGAGCCTCGGCATCACCAGGACGCGCCACTGCTATG